AAATAAAAAGATGAATAAAAGGTGATAACGTATAAAATTCTTAAAATCAGTGAATTCTTCCTTGTTTGAGCAGGTACAAGGGTGTAACTGTGATGAAAGTTGGTGGGGACACTCGGGTAGAGGCTGATGGAGCTACGCTTTTATTAGGTTTTTGTATTTTCCAGAAATGAGCTCAAACATATATTTATTGAATGCTTTCTTATTTGTTGAGAACACAAGAGAACCATAATACACTGATATTTATATTTATAGATGTTAGAGAGATGCCTTTTGGTGCAATACCAAAATATAGGGCCAAAAAAAAATCAATGTATAAAAAAAATAACAAATAAGAGCCGATTCCGATGCCGGAATTGATCCATCCAGAAAAATATGGATATGCTGCATTTTAAATGGAGCATAGAATATTTTTTACTTGCAAACTTTCTGGTAAACCTGGTGAGGTATTTTATTGCATGTTGCATTTCCCAGTAAATCTGTTTCATCTTTAATCTCCCTGCTTTTCTCTGCTCTGTTTGAAAAGATTTATAAACCTCTTTACTAAAATGAATATAATATAAAAAGCTCCGTATGATTTCTAATTTTTTTTAACCAACCCGTCTCCTAACTTTTACTTAAACTTGGAAGTAGCTGCTGGTTAAATTCACTGAGTGCTGCTGTGTGTCTCTCCTGCTCCACATAGCTACTTTGTCACTGTGAAATGCGACCGCAAATCTGATGTCTCAAAGCGACAGATGTAATGATGTTACACCGAGAGGTGGGACACAGGGACAAGGGGAGAGAGGAAAAAAAACAGACCTAAAACACATACTAAAGTAAATGAGCGGAAAGGACCTGGTGGGGACTTGTCCACACCAGAAAGTTCTGCCTGTGAGCAGCTAAATAGTGACCTGCCAATTAAAGGAACAATTTTCCTTCCAAATGAGACAATAAGATCATATTTGCTAAAAACAAGACAAAAGAGGTGGTTTTTTTTCTTCCTATTTAAAAAAGAAAAATGTTTATTTTATGTGCAAATTGTCCATTTAAGTTAGATTTCAGTTTTTGCTGTGTAGTTGGTTCTTAGCTCAAAGACAATTACTATGACTAGGAGCCACAAAATCATGTCCTCTGCCCGACTGTAAATTCTCAGTCTTTCGGTTCATGGTAAAACAGGTTTGATTCTGAGGAAAGCGGACATTTCCTCATCTATCCAGGATTCTTTGTCTTTCTGTCGGCTCCTCCAGAACAATCTGTAGTAGGTGCTCTGATGTTTTGAGCAGCATGGAGGTCAATCTACCTTAGAGCCCCCTTCACACCTTGCCCATTTAGCCATCGTATTTCTGACGTCCCAGAATCTCCTAAAACGTCGGCAAACACTGAACTTTCTATGTATTTTTTTAAATTCTGGGTATATACACAGTGTATTCATAACAAGACCAGAACTTATCTCCAACGACATTATAAAGCTGACTAATAGATATAGTTAGATATAATAGCCTAGGCGGAAGTTCAACTGAAGAAAATGATTGCTCTCCTACATCCACCTATGACACAGCCAATCAGTTTAGAACCAGACCTCCACGAAAGCCAATCAGCATCCAAACTTCATCTTAAAAGGCCTCCGATCCGCAAATCGTCTGCCACTGTGTGCAGGCGGAGGATGCGCTGTGTGACTTCGTTCAGGTGACCCAATTTCAACCCCCATCCCTTCCTACACCATCGTAGCTACAACTTCATCAGACCTTCATTCCTCCCGGACTCTTACTGCATTCCACGTCTCATTTCAACCGGTCCGACAGAAGACCGCCCTTCTGTCGGACCTGTTGAAATGAGATGCGGAATAGAGTCATGTTGAGCCTGGTTCTGCCAGAGGGTTCTTCCCAATGGAGAGTTTTTCCTCTCCACTGTCGCTTCATGCTTGCTCATCATGGACAGGTTCTCTCAAACTGTTTTATCTAAGCTGGACTTCCATCTTCCAGGTCCCTGAGTGAAGCTCTAGTATCAGCTCACGCAGTCCACTGGATCTCCCTATAAAGGTCAGCAGACCGTCTCACTAACCAGCAGTCTACAGACTGACCAACTTCATCCATCTCCACTCCACCACCAGTTTCAGGCCGGGGGGGGGTGCAGCCCTGTTCTTTGCTCCTGTTCATGCATATCTATCAAAATTCAGCGCTAATGTTTCCCCCAAAGACAAAGAAATTGTATCAATAAATTTCTTGTAATTGTCTTTTTTCTTCGTGTGAGATTTTTAGATTGAATTGTTTTTTTAAGTGTTTTTCGTTGTTGGCGTTCATATAAAAATACTGGTGTGATAACTTAGTGTACGTTTGATTGGCTTAGGGTATACGTCTATTTTAAATTTATAGGGCCCCTTGAGAAAACTTCACCAGCCGCTACTGCTACCCAGGGTCCTTAAGGCCACCAGTCCAGGAGGAAACTGGGGAGCGTGTGTGAAGTGGCAAGCAGCAATGGCGTCGCTAACTGATTTTTAAGTATGTAAACCAAAGTGATGCTTGTGCAGAAAAGTTTGTGGTGCAAACTACTGAGCGAGTTAATGACTCTGAGATATTTCATTTGGTTGATGATTTTTCTATTTGTATTTTCATTACATTCTCTGTAAAGTGACCTTGAGTGTCCAGAAAGGTGCTGTTAAATAAAATGTATTATTATTATTAATTTGTGATTTATTTGAAATTTGATCAGGTTTCAAACCCCTGATAGCATAGTAATGACCAGAAACCTTTTATGAAACTCAACCAGCAGGGAAAAAATATCTACTTTGTTCTTATTTTGAACGTAGACCTCCGTCACACCCTGGGATTCTACTTCCTTCTTTCAGGAGATATTTTTTCCACCATTACATGTTCTTCTTCTTTAATTATTCAACACAATCGATTTCCCTTTCTGCTTCTAAACTGAGAAAGCTATGATGTCTCAAGTTCGATTTACTCTCTAAGAATAGAAAGCAAAAAAGAGCTGTTGTTTTTGCATCCCTCATTCTAGTTCAGGTCAAGCAGAGCTGTGGAGGGTTTTCCTTTCGAATGCGTACCTGATGATAGCTGGAGAGGAACGGACGGTACAACAAGGGGAGAAACTGGAGAGGTCAAGAAAATGAGGGTAAGAAAGAGAGTTCAAGAAAAAAAGATTAGATGGGAGACAGAGGAAGATAAGGAGTGGTGGAAAAGGGAAGCATGGAGGAAAGAGAAGACTGAGGTGAAAAAGACGTAAAAAGAGTAACTGAGAGAAAAGGCCAGAAAGCCACACGGTAATTTAATAAGTCCACTTTCCATCGATCTGCTCCTCTCTATGATGGTGAAATTACTTCTTCAAATCAATAGGTGGTATAAAAACATGGCCTCAGATTCAGGAGGCCTGGTTTAAAAACATGGACATTACTAAGTTTGGTGGGAAATGAGAAGATCTGTGTGAAATATGCATCTGGAACCGATCAGTTATTTACAGACGGACATTTCAGAATGTTTATTAACTTACTTTTATTCTATCAGTCATAGAAACATGCAGTTTCTCAGTACCTCCTCTTTTTTCATATAAACTTTGATCTTTTTATTCTTTATGTTATCTGTTATACAGTAGTAGACATTCAAATTTCCCGCTTTCCTTGGCCGGTCCCCTTCAATTCGTTTTTAAACATTGTCCTTTGTACTAAAATATTCTTTCTGTCATGATTTGTGGACATTAAGATCTAAAGAGAAGCGCCATCTCCAGGTCAGACCCTGTAATTTAAGTCGT